GTGTGTGTGCGTTCGTGTGTGTGCTTGTGTGTGTGTGTGTTTGTGCGTGTATGTTAGTGTTTGTGTCTGTGTGTGTGCGCGTGTGTGTGTGTGTGTGTTTGTGTCTGTGTGTGTTTGTGTGTGTGTGTGTGTGTGTGTGTGTGTGTGTGTTTGTGTGCGCGCGCGCTCGTGTGTGTGATAAGGGCACCATTAGTTATATCCAAATTTGGGCACATAATTTAGGATAGACATTGTAACATCGCCTGTCATCGATTTGAGACAAAACATGAAACTGTTGCTGGTTATATTGTTAAATATGCATGCTTCCCAGGAAGTTGAGTTTGTTTCAGAATGCTCTCAGGTCTGCTGGGGTAATAGTATATATTGTGAAGCGCAAAGAGCTTGCCGTTGAGTGAGGATTTGCGCTGTACAAATGTTATCTATTATTATTTATTATTATTATTAGAAAGTGATATGTAGCAAGCTGATTTTTTTGTTTGTTTTGTTTTTGTCAAATGGGGGATGGTGGGATTCTGTGATAGCCGTTAATAGTCGTTTTATTAAACGTCTTTTTCCTTACACTTAGAAAAAAGGAAAACTGGGATAAGATAAAAAAAATAAAACAACGCTGACTGGTTACTCAAAACAATCCTATCATAATTGTAAAAACAATTTTACATTTCTCTAATTAGTGGGGGACATGAGTATATGATTTTGAAACTTTGTAACATTCGTATATCCCTGGCAAAGAATACAAATTTCAGTACAATAAAACGCCCTCAGTGTGTAAAAGAATGAGAACATCTCCTACAAAAGTGCTGACAATGTTTCAAACGTTTGAAATCTGCATATACCACAATGCTTGCTCTCCAACGGAAAGACAATCCACGTATCCACGTCTCTCGATTTTTTCATTATCACTTTTTTAAAAAAAGGTGAGTTTCCATGGCAACTATAAAGTGTCATCGCTTAGCAACTTCGTAAATCATCCATCCTGGCAACTTGGAACAAAACAGGTTTGCAATCTGCTCACTGCTGTGATATTTTCCTAGCCCTTTGCGGGAGACCTCTTTACATCTCTTCACCCTCACCCAGAATTACAAAAAGGCTAACGCAGTTTTCTAAAATTAGACCTAATTGCCACTTAAATAGTAACTCTCTCAGGGGATGTTAATATGGCTTTTCTAATGTCGTAAAACAACCCCCCCCCCAAAAAAAAAAAAAATTTTTTTTAAAAAATTCGCAATTCGGCAATATGCCCGGAACAGTTAATTGGCCACCAGTAGTACTGCTTTTTTTTATTTCTAATGTAAGTCTAGTGGGTGTTTTTTCGGCCCCGTCGATCAATGTAGATGAAACTGGAGGCGCCTGTCAAGACCAACCCGGTTGAGAGGGATACGACACCCCAGCAGAAAACCGAGACACTGGATAAAAATATCTCCCCATTTGGGAATGGGCTTCGTTTCTCTTGTGTGCGACCTCAAAGCACCTCAGCGCTTCACCTCAAAAACTTGTGAGTAGAGATTAAATGAGATAAATGCATGTTTGGTATTAATAATAATAATAATAAATAGCATTTGTATAGCACATATCCCCGCTCAACAGCAGGCTCTATGCGCTTTACACTATATTATTACCCCAGCAGACCACAGAACACTCCAAAACATTCTCAGCTTCCCGGGAAGCATACTGTGCAAGCAGCTGATTAAGCGCTCAAACACTAACAAACTGACAAGATCTTTCGCTGTCTATAGCCGGGTACCCATTCCCACCTGGGTGAAGTGAGGAAAATTCGTGTAAAGTGCCTTTCCCAAGGACACAACATCGGACCCCTGACGGGATTCGAACCCATGACCTTACGGTTGCGAGTCCGAGAGCCCAACCACTAGGCCACCGACGCCACTTTACGTCTGTGTACATACCACGCACACCTATTTGGTCTGTTTACAAGACGAGGAATATAGTTTCTATGTCCCTCTTTTCTCAATCTCTGGTAGTTTACTCTTCCTTTACATTATTGTTTGTTTGAGTAAAGAGAAGCACATCGGCTCAATAATGGTTATCTACTAGTGCTGGGACAGACGGACAGATACAATTAGGGGAAAATTTAAAAAGTGAGATCAACCAGTGGCACCCTCCAACCACCCTCTCTTTTACAGAAAGAACTGAGGGAAAGTAAAGAAGTGGGAACTACCAGTGACTCCCTCCAACCACCCACCCTTCCTTTACTAACAATTAGATAGATTGTATCTTACAGATAACAAAACTAGGAGGATATTTCCACTCAGTCAGATAGTTCTCCTCTACGCTCTTAGCAATCAACTGTGTTCTCTATACAATCAAATGGGTTCTTAATGGACGAATGGCTTTTCTTGTCTTGTGTTGTGGGGGAGGCTATTCCGTGTCGTGCAAAGATACAAGGTGGGAGTGAGTGAATGAATGAATTTATAGGTGAGTGAGTGGGTTAATGAGTGAGTGAGGGAGTGAGTTAGTGAGTAAGTGAGTCTGTGAGTGAGATGGTGAATGAGTGAATTAGTGGATGACTGGGTGAGTGAATGAGTGAGTGAGTGTGAGAGTGAATTGGGGGGGGGGGGGCATGGACGTGACATAATATATCCCGTGCCCTCTTTATTTGTTGTCGAACTTTTACCAAGTACTTAAAGCACTCACTTCCTTTCCTGTTCTGGCTTGGTCCTACTTAACATGCATACGGTCAGGCACGTTACTCCCAGATGGGCAAGCATTGATTTCCACCCACGCATGACTGGAATCAAAGACATAATGTTCTGTGCACTTCCGTATCATCTTTTCTTTCTACTACCAAGTTAGACTGGAGGAGTGAATCTTTCTATTTTCTTGTTGCAACATTTGCCCTGAGCACTCAATATTTTGTATCCATGACGAGGCTTAATTTCAGTGGAATGCAACTCCTTAACTGTGGCGAAATTTAACTATTGACAACGTTGGAGGGGTCTAAAAGGATTCTTATTTAGGTTTTGGAAATTGCCAATCAAAAAGATTGTTCTTGGCTCGTCCTATTACTTACATTGCTTCATCTTGAGTATTTAACATGTTTAAATTGTCTGCTTTGCTTTGGAGTAAATTTGCATAATTAAATGTCCTGATCTGTACATCCCCTTCCCCCAACTTCAGATTTTGATGGTATTGTCTTTTTTCTGAAGCTTTACGACCACAGTGCTGACCCAAGCCATACTAGCAGTCCCTGACGGGTTTCTTCTGGTCAAATTTGAGCTGTTGCCTTCGGGGCTGACATTTGAAACGGAGACGCAAGGGGGAAAATAAATGTAGACTTGATTGGAACCTATTATTGAAAGCTCATACTGTTGGACGAAGAAGTGGAGGCCCTCATGTTTTCATCTAACCTCGCCGTACTCCCCCTTCCTCCCCGGCTTTTGTTCCCTCCCCCTTCTCACTTTCTACCCCCCTCCCAAATCAACTCATCACCCTATACCAGATGTAAAGGAGTGGTGATTGTATTGTGATGGCTTTCCCCTCTTGTCTAGACGGAAAAACCTGCATTGATTTATCAAAAGTGCTGTACTTTTCCTCCCACGAGGCAAAAAAAATGAACAGTAACTGGAGACGGTGTTTTATAGCTTCAGTCGTCTGATTAGAATCAGATGAAAACAGCTTTATCTTAGGACACATGCTCTCTCAAACGTACAGCAGAAAATCGACAAACATCAAGTCGCTCAAACTTTCGCTGCTTGCTCCATGAAACTGACAAATCATCGGTCAGCTGTTAAAAAGTACTAAACTCAAAATTCTAAAATCTACTTAGATTGCAGCTTCTTAATGTATAGTATCAGTTGTATAGGTTCAAGGAACATTTTGTTGAAACTCAAATTTAATTGTGTAAAAAAAGAAGAAAAAAAAGAAGAAATATAATATGTAGGTACAATTAATTATTAACGAAATGAAAGAGTAATCTTTTTTTTCCCTTGAACAAATTTTGCCTTCCGATATTAGTACATTTGAACAGTTTGCCGACTAGATAGTAAACACAGACAAGCACGCTCCAACGATAGTCAGTCACGCCATGGTTTGATTTAATTCACATGTTGTTAGTATCGCAACACCTCCCTCACGGCTCACGCGCTCAGGATACAATCAATCAATTCATTCATTACTCACACAACATTGTAACTGTAAACATCTGCCAAAACAAGTCAATGATATGGTCACAGCGAAAGTCGCGGCACAAGGATGATACAATATGCACACAGACAAGTCAAAATCGTATTGGCTCACTTTCAGTCTCATACAGTGGTTTTGAGAAAGGTTTAGATATTAATAAATGATGAGAATTATAGTATACTGTTATATTAATTATGATAAATATAGTATATTGTTGTCAATTTCTTAACGCGTTTCCAGTGTGGTTGTCTCTTTCTTGGCCTCAAGAACACTCATAGAGCATTTTGACGTCATCATCTTTCACTGCGTACTCCCGCGTTGTCGTCTGCGTCGCCCGCCAGGGGCTAGGCGGAAGTCCACAGTCTCTGTGACCCTTGTTCCCGCTGAATTCTGGGAGTTCCTTCATGACCTGGGAGTCCCGAACATGGCGTGGAAATGCCGGAGCCAGCGGAATGTCTGAAACGAGGGGATTAAAGAGACCAATGAGGAAATAATTACAGAATGGAAGGCTAAGAATGGTCGTATTGGTGGTCTACTGGTTAGGCAGTCAGGTTTGCAACCATAAGGTTGTGTGTTCGAGCCCCGTCAGGGACTTGACCTTGTTTCTTTGAGAGAGGCACGTCACACAATTGTTCTCACTATACTCAGCTGGGAATGGTATCCGGCTAAAATCGTCTAAAGATCTTGATTAGTTTCTTAGTGTCTTAGCGCTTACTCGAATCGGTTGGTCAAACCGTATGCTTCACTGGAAACTGGGTGTTTTGGGGTTTGTTGGGGTAAAAATAGTTGTAAAGTGCTCACGGCTTGCTGGAGATCATGGATATACGCTCTTAGATACAATTATTATCATAACAATTAAATAATAAACGTTCGAGTGAGTAACAACTTTGACCCTCTAGGCCTTTAAACCAAATAGAGAGAAGTAATATTTGGAGAAAAAAGTACAACAGTTTCATTCCATTCTGCAGCATTGCCAAACGATCATGCGTAAGAAAAACAAACGTATAAGAAAAAGAACATGCGATCGTTAAGATCATTACCGGCAACAACAAGGCATTCAGGAATCCACCTGAAAGAAAAGAATTAATTGGTAACCAGCTTTTCGAATAAGATTTGCTTCCAAGGGTTTGTTACTTTTCTAAAAATGAGAAGACTAACAAAAACAAGGAGACGGAGAAGTGTGATTGCGGAGAATATAGTAAGTAAAAGAATAAGAAACATTAGTGAAAGAGGGTGTGAAAAGACAAGAACTGTGACCTTTAACAATGCTCTAATATTGAAAATCTTGAGTACATCAAAACAATTGCAAAAAATAAGTAGGCCTATAATCTATAGCGTTGCGTTGCCTTCGTTAATTCCTAGAGCATACTGTCGGCTCCAGACACCAAACGCGTTCATGGAGGAAAAATAAGAACCCGAGCTATGATTTTAGTAAAAATTTGTTCTAACTGTATTTACCAATGGCTTTGGAAATGGAAATACACGGGACATTTTTTTTTCTTCTGCGTTGACTAAAGAATCAATAACAGGAAGTTCAACCAGCTGCCTGTTTAATTCTTACTCGAATCAGCTATGCTACGAGTAGTTTTTAAGTTTCAGTTTTCTAGATATTACCCAGCGTTTTGGTATTCTCTCCACAAAAAAAAGAGTTAAGACAAGTCATGAAGAAGTGGATGATGCTCACCCAGTGACGTAGTACACAGAGCGGGAAGGTCTCGTCCTCGCCGCCCGGGCAGTCGTTGCTTCCGTCACAGATCATACTGTCGTATAGGCAGACGTTTGAGGCGCTGGGACACGTCATTGGCTGCGTACCGTCTCGTTCCGTTTCACATGTGTGACCTGAAGGTCAAAGGTCAAATTTAGAATGTCGATTTGAGAAACAGAAAAAGCAATGGCGATTAAGGTGTTTAGGTTTTTGGATTTAGAGGAGAAGTATTATGCAGACAATGGAGAAAGTCAACAAATTTCACTCTCTAACTCTCT